CTTGCGCAACCGGGTGCGAGAGAGACGGCCATGCGGCTGCGGCCCGGGGTCCTCGCGGGGGGGCCGCTGGTCCTGGCGGGGCGGGGCGGGGCGGGGGGCCGAGCTGAGCAGCTGAGCCAACACCAGCAGCAGCGAGCACCACCTCTACCACACCAGCCTGATGGTCGGCAAACACGAGGCGAGTCCGGGGCGGGGGGCGGCGCGGGGGGCGGCGCGGCGGCGGCCTCAACGGGCTGCAGCAAGTCAGGGCCGCGTCCGGGAGAGGTCCGGGCCGCGCCGCGCTGCGAGAAAGAGTGAGAGTGAGAGAGAGAGAGAGGACGGCGTCGGCGCGGACGCATCCCTGGGCAGGGCGCGGCCGCGGGCCCGGGCAGGGCCGTGGCAGAGCCGGCAGAGAGAGAGAGGGTCAGACACGGGGCCGCGCCGACTCGCCGGGGCGGAGGCATGGCCGCGCACGGGGGCCCCGCGGGGCCCCGGGGGCCTGGGCGGGGGCCCCCGCGGGGGAGGGGGGCCCGGCGGGGGCGGTGAGAAGGCTGTGCCGCTGGGGTTGGCTGTGAGAGGTCCCCTCTCGGGTCCCCTTCGGCTGCGGCTGGTTGGGCGGGGCCACGCTCCCCCACCACCACCACTCCGCCCGGCCGAGGCGGGCGAGGCCCCCCCACCACCGCCGCCGACGCCGCCGCCGCGCCGCGGTGCTCGCTTGGCGGCCGCGCGAGGGTGAGGGCGAGGGGCGAGGGGCAGGGAGGGGAGGTCGCGCCGGAGGGGAGGGGGAGGCCGACCGCCGAGCCGCCAGTTCGGTGGTGGGGGTCGGGCCAGCCGAGCGGGGATTACTCTATATTGTGTGTACGCCGAGGGGTGATACGGTGTTTACACGCGGCCAGGGCCCCGATTTATTTCCAACAGATTTGTCGTGCCGCTCGCACCGTGCGGACGTCGCTCGGCTCCGCTCCGCTCCGCGCTCCGCTCGGCTCCGACCCCGCGCGCCCCGCCAGCGAGCTCGAGCATGGTGTGCTGAAGCGCGGCACTGCCGAGCACATACACACACCCCGCCCTTCCTGACCGAGTGCGTTGTGTGCGCCGCGAGTGCGTTTGCGAGTGCGTTTGCGAGTGCGCTTGCGAGTGCAAGCGAGTGCCAGTGCGTGCCACCAGCCTCCTCCGCCCCATGTGTGGGAATGCACCTCTCCTCCTGGACCCGAGCAGGCGCTTGCTGATCAGTGCGGAGGCCGTGTTCAGTTCACCGACAACGTGAGTAGTGTTATTTTTTGATTCCTCACCGTCTACGTGATGGTTGATGATGAAGTCGGGGTGTTTCTGTGCCCCGCACCCTCGCCGTGTCGCGCCCGTCTCTGACCGCCGCCCCTCTGGTTGCAGCACCAGCCCGCGACCGCACCCCGACATGCAGCCCTTCCAGCCCAACATGATGGAGACGCCCACCAGCCCCAACGTGGCGAGCCCCGCGGCCAGCCCGGACGCCAACGCGACCCTCCTGGTGGCGAGCGGCGCAAGCAGCAGCAGCGGCAGCCCGCCGCCGCCGACGACCTCGTCGTCGGCCACCTCGCGAGCCCTCACCTTCTCCATCGCCAAGATCATGGAGCCCGACCGTCGGCGGCCCGAGGCGAGCTCGCCGCCGAGCCGCGCCACCGCGGACCCGCTCAACGGCGTGCTCTCGGCGTACAGGCCCACGGCCACGCCGGCGCCCATGGACTCGGCCTTCAAGAAGTACGTGCCGTCGTTCCGCGCCCACGACCTGGACCTGCTGTCGCAGTACCCGCTGCTCTACTACTACCCGGGCGCGCTGCAGAGGCCCATGCGGCCGGGGCCGCCGCGGAGGTCGCCGCCGCCGCCGTCCCCCGACAGCCGCGACTCGTCGAGCAGCCCGACGATGATGCACGGCGCGCACCCGGCGCACTCCATGGGGCTGGCGGGGCCCGTCAGCCAGGGCGGCTCCTCGGCCAGCAGCCCGCCGCCGTCGCAGCCGTCGCCGCCGCCCGCCGGCGGCGCGTCCACGCCCAAGCTCAAGAACTTCACGTGCAAGGAGTGCGGCAAGGTGTTCAACGCGCACTACAACCTGACGCGGCACATGCCCGTGCACACGGGCGCGCGCCCCTTCGTGTGCAAGACGTGCGGCAAGGGCTTCCGGCAGGCGTCCACGCTCTGCAGGCACAAGATCATCCACACGCAGGAGAAGCCGCACCGCTGCGACGTCTGCGGCAAGTGCTTCAACCGCAGCTCCACCCTCAACACGCACCTGCGCATACACCGCGGCGACAAGCCCTTCGAGTGCGAGATCTGCGGCAAGAAGTTCCACCAGAAGGGCAACTACAAGAACCACAAGCTGACGCACAGCGGCGAGAAGGCCTTCAAGTGCAGCGTCTGCAACAAGGCCTTCCACCAGGTGTACAACCTCACCTTCCACATGCACACGCACGAGGACAAGAAGCCCTTCACGTGCGACGTGTGCGGCAAGGGCTTCTGCCGCAACTTCGACCTGAAGAAGCACATGCGCAAGCTGCACGAGGCGGGCGGCCTGGACGCGCGGCTCGACGCCCGGCTGGAGGCCCGCATGGAGGCGCGCCTCGACGCCCGCATGGACGGCCACCTGCTCGACATGTCGTCCTGCCCGCCCGCCAACCGGAGGCTCATGTACGCCGACCACGCCGACGGCGCCGACGCCGTGGCCCACCACCGGCACGCCCTGCTCGCGCCCTTCCTGCTGCCCGGCTGCCCGCCCAACCCCTACCTCTCCAAGATGTTGTGACCGCCGGTGCTCCCCCACCTGGGGGGACTGTTCCCGCTGCCCAGCGCCGGCGGCGGCCCGGGCCCCGCCGACAGCCCGCGGCCGCACCCGCGCCCGCCGCCGCCGTCGCGACACGCATTCGTCGACCTCAGGACGCCGTCGCCGCCGTGAATGCCGCGCCGGCCTCGCCCCTCCAGCGGGACGCGACGCCATTCTCGTCTCCCCCCTGCAGCGTCGCGGCGGGAGGCCGGGCCCGGACCGGACCAGCAGCAGCCCGACCAGCCCCGCCCCGCCCCGCCTCAGCCAAGTAGCTGTTATGTCGTCATGTGTTTGCGGCAGTTCACACTCCTCGCCGTCTGGAGAGCGCGCCGAGGCTGTCAACTTCACTTTGGCGCGCGGGGGG